GGACATGGAAAAAAAGACAAAAAAAAAAAAATAGTCCTGTGCCTTTGTCTTTACCCAAGTTATGCTTCTTTTTTTTTTTTTTTTTTTTTTCCTTTTTGTCTTTTTTCGTGACCGGCAACGGGATCGCAACCCTCGGTGTTGCACCCTCACCTCGCCTCAGCCAGTGAGCGGCCAGTCTGTATGTGGGATCCGAACCCTCGGCGGGAGCGCCGCCGCGCTCCCAAGCAGCGCACTGTAGCAGTGCACCACCGGGCCGGGCCCCAAGTTATGCTTCTTAATCAAGTGTCTTTGAGTGGATAGTCTAATTGAAGGATGGTACCCTACACCACATTCCATTTTCATAAACCCTGTCCCCGTTCACTAAGCCATCTTTAGGTGATGGATTTGGGGCCACTGCTGTAACCACCCCTTAATTCACAGAAGTCTCCTGTGGGCACTCTTTGGGTAATTGATTTTCTGTCTTAGATCATGGATCCCAGAGATCTGTGTAGTAAAGTTCTTCTAAAAGAAGTGAACATTTATTCAAAAGAAGTATAAACTGTGGCATTCAGAGATGGGAAAAATGTTATCCAATTCACAAACTTTGGAATAATTTTTACAAAGAGAGCCTACACACTTGTTATCCAGTTGATAACAAGAGCTTTGTCATCTCTATTTACACACCAAGATCTTCTCACATCCTTCTAAGTTGAAGGGAACGATGTGAAGTCACTAGACAGGAGCTCAGGGGATCATTGTTTATCTTGATTGGAGTTGTTTTATGCTTGCTTTCAGTTTTAATTCAATTCAATTTGATTCATTTGAACAAGCATTCATTGATCACTTGCCATGTGTCAAGCATCCTTCTGGATAGAATGTATGTGGGGAGGGTGATGCAGAGATAACTAAGCCTCAACTCCCACTCTCTAAAAGGTCACAGTCTAGCCAGTGAGACAGTAGTCCCATCTCATGTTATTGCAAAACTAAGCAGATAGTGATTGGTGAGCTGTAAGGCAACTAGGGAGGAAAATAACTCATCCAGACTGGGCAAACCTGGACAGGCTTCATAGAAGAGATGAAAGACAGGCTCAGCCTTCAGGGAAAGGCTTCCATAGGCAGAGGTGAGCAGGATGGGAGGGTGTTGCTGGTAGAGGAAGCATAAGCTGGTGATGGCATGGGGGGAGATTCAAAAGATGTTTGTGCAATAGCATGAGGTCTGCAGCAGCTGGAATGAGGGGGCCATCATGAGAAGGCATTCTGAAAGGAAGACCGGAAGGAAGACAAAGGGCTTTAAATGCCAGGACAAGGGGTTCAAATTGTAGAACTTGGACAGTGGAGAGCCTATGAAAGTGTTTGCAGAGTGACAGAGCTATATTCTTAGGAAGATCAATGGATTGACTAATTAATTGGTCAAATAAGTTAAAGGTAAAGAGATCAGTTGAGCCCAGGTAGGAGGTGGAAATTTCCCAACCTATGCATGAACAGTGGGAGGAGAAAAGTGGGGAGGGGCAGGTGCAGCATTGCTGCAGTCATGTCAACAGGACTTGTTGGTTGGAGGTGAAGAGAGAACTAAGGAGGTTGAAACTGAGGGTGAGCCCTGTATTCAAGATCTGTCCCCTTGGGGCTGGCCCGGTGGCACACTGCGCTAGTGCGCCGCTTGGCAGGTGCGGCAGCGCTCCCGCCGAGGGTTCGGATCCCACATACAGACCGGTTCCCGCTCACTGGTTGAGCGAGGCATGGGGGCAACACCGAGGGTTGCGATCCCGTTGCCGGTCCCGGTCCGGTGCGGGGGCGACACTGAGGGTTGCGATCCATTGCCGGACATGGAAAAAGACAAAAAGAAAAAAAAAAAAAGATCTGTCCCCTTGACAGATGATGATATTCTTCACTAATGAAGTAAATGTAGAAGGAGGAGCAGGCAGGTCTGTAGGGTTTGGGCTGAGTTGAGTTTTGGACATCTCCAATGAGAACTGGCTTTGGGATATCTAAATAGAGATCAAGTTCTGCAAAGCAGTAGGTTTGAACAATCTAAACCTCAGGGGGAAGTTTCGTTGTATAAAGAAGTGAGATGATGCTACCATGGAGGGGAAGTTGTTTTGATGCCATGAGAACTCACAAGCTCATCCCTCCCGAGATTGCTCATTTGCCTCTCCTCTTTCCTGTCCAGCGTTTACCAGCTGGTTGTCAAGGAGGAGCGACCTCAGAAGTCACGGAGGGCAGCTGACATCATTGAATGCTTTTCAGTGCCTGTGAGCTATCGGAACGCCTCCAGCCTCGATTCTCTGCATTACTTTGCAGCTGAATTGAAGCCTGCCAACCTGCCTGTCACCCAGCCATTTACAGTAGGTGACAACAAGACATACAATGGCTACTGGAACCCTCCTCTCTCCCCACTGAAAAGCTATAGCATCTACTTCCAGGCACTCAGCAAAGCCAATGGAGTAAGTATGGTCATTCCTTGCCTTGTTTGTGTTTTTCCCATTCTCAGATGAGAAGGTAGGATGGCTTTAGAGGACAGCTTGGCAAACTAAAGGCCCATGAGATAAATCCAGCCCCATGCCTTTTTAAATTGTTTTGGTAAAGTTTTTTTTTTTTTTTTTTTTTTTTTTTTTTTTTTTTTAGTACAGCACTGCCTATTTATTTATATGTTGTCTTGGGCTACTTTAAGGCTTAACAGTAGAGCTGAGCAGTTGCAACAGAGAACGTATGCCCTATAAAGCCTGAAACATTTACTATATTTGGCCCTTTACAGAAAAAGCTTGCAGACTCCTGCATTAGAGTACGGAGAAGGTGCTTCTCCTGAGCAGTCACATGGTCTATCTGAATCTTAATTTCTTTATCTGTAATAGTAATACCTATCAATTTGCTATCTATGGATGCACCAAGCATGTTTTATTTGGTCATTGAATACTACCTCCTCTATCACTACCATTAGTCACATTCAAACCTGGGATGGGGGGGTGCCCCAAAGACAAGTTTACAATTTTTGTGTCAAATATTTCTTTGGTCAAGGAGTGGTGCCGATTGCAACATCACAAAATCAAAGGGCTGAAAAGAAACTTAAAGGTCATTCAATGCCTCCCTCCCGTCACACACACACACACACACACACAGTGCTTCAATTGATATTTCAATGTTACAGCTAACTGTGGTTAGTGCTTATTCTTGCATACCTCTGATGACAGAGAGCTCACTTTGCTAATCCTTGGGGTGGTGTGAGGAGGGGGCCATGGCTCTAAGAAAGCTTTTTGATGTACTTACTTAAATATCTTTTTCATTGTAGCTGCTATTCATTGTTCTTGGTCCACATTCTTAGGGGCATATAGAACCAAAGCAATCACCTTCTTGGATGGTTCTTTCTGAGTTACATAAGATCTTTCCTACCCTCACTTCCCTTCTAGGCAAACACACTCATCTGGTATTCTTTTCTGCAAGCTAAGTATCTTTAGTCCTTCTTATGACACAAGTTTGTATTTGCCAGGCAGGATGCTTTTGTGGATATACTTCAGGTTGCCACATTTTAACAGAGCACTGACATACGCTCAGCCCTATGATTCATATTAAGGTTATGTAGTGTGTAACCTCCAAGAGCTTATAGAAACATATGGGAGTCTGTCTTGTTATGCAGTGTATCTAAAGAAATGAGACACTTACTGGAGAAGGGAGGCCTGAGACAAAGGCAAGATTTGGTGATGTGTGTGGGGAACAGCCCATGCAGGTTGTGGGTGGCCAACTAGAGTTTAGACTGTCAGTGACAGTCATTGCCTGGTGAGAAACCTGGACTGAGAAACTAATTAACATTTAGAATGTCCACATACACATTTAAATTCCACTTTGGTATTTCAGATCTGCATTTATTACTGTTTCAAGGAACACTCCTCACAGAGTATAAAACTACAAAGAGAAGCTGCCAGATTGCCTTCCACCTGTCCATCTGATCTTCCCTCTGCATGAAACACTCTGATGTGTTGGAGAGGAAGACATAAAGATGGACAGAAGCATGTATGGGTCCATCTTGTTCTCAGGTCTCCACGCTTGTCAGTTTACTAGCCAGATTGCCTTCCACCTGTCCATCTGATCTTCCCTCTGCATGAAACACTCTGATGTGTTGGACAGGAAGACATAAAGATGGACAGAAGCATGTATGGGTCCATCTTGTTCTCAGGTCTCCACGCTTGTCAGTTTACTAGCTCAGCACAACCCTCTATGAAGGTGTAGTTTTTTTCTGCTCCTGGCACATGTCAAGGGATGTGGTTGGTTTTTAATGTTGAGAAGGGGAAGAAGTAGCTTCACTTAGTTCACTTTCTAGCACACTCTCACTGAGATACTCATAAAGCCTAGCGACAGACCAAGAACCTCCCAAACTGGCAAACTTACCCCAGAAAGAATTTCCCCAACCCAAGCATGGTTGGTCCTGAGCAGAACAGCAGGTGGTGTGAAAAATCTGCTGGAGGTTTGGCTCTCCAAACATCACACTGTAGACCTCCCTCCTCAAGACATGGGGGCTTGCCATTGAGGAGAAAGCAGTCTCCCCACTCTGAAGCTGCCTTATCTCTGAAGTAGTTTCTACTACTGCTTTGGAGATGAACATGGCCAGTTAATCACTTATGCTCTTCATCCCACATCATGTGTACTTGCATTTTGGAACTAAGATTCCCAGTAGTAAGACACAAGCAAAAGTGGAATTGGATGAGAGCTTTTCCAGGTGCCTTGGGGGTGCAGTTGGCCTCCCAGAAACATAAAGAGAAAAAGCTGCTGGAGCTGGGCACTGAGAGTGTTGTATTTTTCTGGCAAAGGAAAAAGTACACACTGCTTCAAATTTCTGTCTTTAGTACTAAGTTTTACTAAAAAGAGTTGGGTGAAAGGGTCATTGGAGCAGAAAAGTCATCCTCAGTCTGAAAAACATCTGCCTGGCCCCTCTCAGGTTTCTCCATATCGTAAAGGGCAGCACACAATACGCTTAAGCCTGGAGGATTTTTGAGGAGAAAGTGTTATAACCCACAAATTCCTTATCAGCCAGGTTGTTGTTCTTTTGCAAATACATCAGAAAGACATTCTCAGTATCCAGGGGCTCCCATATGCCCTGCTTCTAATAAATCATTCAAAGAGCCATTGACTGAGCAATAAATCAAAGTAAAGAAATCAAGAATAGAGAAATGTGGGAAAAAATACCCACAGTGAGCATGAAACTAATTAAATATTGCATTAATGCTAAATAATTTCTCTAAATACATTACAAAACAGAAGGTTAATGTAAAAAATAATTACTTAAAGAGGAGATGCATAATGTAAAAATTAACAATTGTGATCTGGGGCTATAATTCACTGTTATGTCAACAAAAACTGAGAAAGTGTTAGAGGATTGAACAGTGTAAATGAAAATCTGCTAATTTTCTCATGTTAGATAAGAGGAAATAAATGACTACTGTTTTATTTTTGATACTGAGAATTTTAGAAAGAACATACATCCCAAGCTATCATTTAAAAACCAGAAAAATAAATAAATAAATCTACAAAGAAAAATAAGGAAAACAAACGAAAGTGTAAGGAAACATCAAAATTGGCAACTATAAAATAAGACAAAAGACAAAAGCATTAGATTTGATGGGGAAAAAAGGGGTGCTTTTCTCATAAAAGGGAAAAATGGCTTTGGTCAAGTAAAAACCATAATTTGGCAACCCTATATCATTAAAATATTAAAAACTAAAAATGGGACAAAGTTATATTAATCTAAAACAAATTAAAGGAAGGCAAAAATGGCTATTTGTTGCAAGATGGTTGCGGACCAGGTTGAATAATTTACTATCAACAAATTTTATTCCTCTCTACAGTACCTGAAAATTTTACTCAGATCAGGGTAAGAGAATTTTAGGGTCCAGATATCTTTATTCTATGAATATATGGATATTCTATGGCTAATTGTCAATTCAGCGGAGAGGATACAAATTCAACCTTTACAATCATACTGCCTATGTACAAAACCCTAGTAGCTGTGTGACTTTAAGCAAGCTATTAAAAGAGTTACATATGATTAATTAATTGAGGAAACATCTATAAAGTACAAACTATATGTCAAAAAGGCACTTTTCTGAGTGCTGGGAAAATAGCAGTAAGCCCTCATAGTCTTTATATTCTGGTGGGGGAGAGACCAAAAATAAATAAATACGTGAAATAATGTGTCAAATAGTGAATCAGTAAGTTTAAGAATGTGGAAGTCAGTCGTTAAATGTTGGCTGTTATTAGCATAAGGATAAAGACATTTCATAAACTCTACAGTCATCTACAAATGGGGACTGTTACAATCCAACCCTATAGACACTATAGAGAGTTCCAATATGATGAGCATTAGAAGACATGGTGCTCAGAGTCCTTTCAGGCATTTTCATGAAGTGTGAGTTGTTCACAGGCACTAGTGTTGGAAATTTCGGTCTGGTTAATAATATCCCATTACTTGTTGATGCTCTCTTAAGGGTAACAAGGATAGTCCCCTTTGCTGGTGGCACTGTCCTTGGTACTGAATTCCCAGCACCCATCTTTCTTGTGAATCAGGCCATATTGAAACCATTTGTTTTGGATAAAGCTGTATTATAGATCCATAGCATGTTAGAGTTGCATGGACTTTGAAGAGTCATCTAGTCTAGAACAGAAGCCAAAAAAGAAATCTCCAATAGGGCATGCTTGGCAGGACGTTATATCACTTCATCTTGATCACTGCAGTTCTCTGGAGTGAAAGGAATGTGAGTCTTTTGTGAAGCTAGTAAAATTATTAGAACTTTTTTCCTTACATAAATCCACATTTTGTCTCCTTAACTCTCCCCTCTCAGACACTTGTATTGATTTGAGCAAATCAAATCTTTCTTTCCCATGTTAGCCTTTCAAAGAAAATATTACAGCACCAACTACCCACCCCTGGCCACCCATTTCTCATTGATATTTAACATGTAGTTACTTCTTTTATTTCCCGCATGGCATGATTTCCAGACCCTTTTAATCCATTTTCTCTATTCTCTGATGGACTCCTTTTTTCCCAATGTTCTCCTTAAAAAGGGATGCCTAGAACCTCACACTGTGTTTCAGATATGGTTAGACAACACTGCTACATACATGGCATGATTTCCAGACCCTTTTAATCCATTTTCTCTATTCTCTGATGGACTCCTTTTTTTCCAATGTTCTCCTTAAAAAGGGATGCCTAGAACCTCACACTGTGTTTCAGATATGGTTAGACAACACTGCTACATTTTAACTACCTCTCATATCTTGAACATTTTCTAAGACATTATTTATGTAATATTCCAAGATGTTTTTCTCACTTTGGGGCCTTTATTCAAGCTGTTATTCTACCTGAATCTCTCTTTCCTTCATTATTTGCAGAATTAGTACCTCCTCATTTTTAAAGCTTCAGTTTCTATATCATATTCCTTGAGCTCTTGAGAGCAGT